GTTTTTCGCAGTGCTTCTCCTCTTGTCCATGTTCGAATTTTTTATTTCAAATAACGAGAAATGTGTGTGTTTATTAGAGAGGGAGATGTTTTTAAACACGCCTAAATAGCACACGCACGCACGCACGGCACGCACGCACTGCACGCACGCACGCACGCACGCCCACACACACACCCACACACACACAAACACACCACACACGCAGCGCGTGCGCACAATACACATAACACGTACGCGCACGCGGATACGCACACGCCTACGCACACGCACACGCACGCGCGCACGCACACGCACACTCACGCTCACACACGCGCGCGCATCACATACACAAACACGGCGCGCGCACGCACCGCGCACGCGACACGCGCCGCACACACACACGCACGTACCAACATACACACACACACACGCACGCACGCACGCAACCACACACACAGCACACCCAAACAAAACACACACAAACACACTCAGACACACGCGCGCGCACCAGATACACAAACACGCTCACGCTCACGATCACGCACACGCACGCACGCACACACACGCACACGTACACGGACACGCACACACACGCACACGCACACATATGCACAACGCACACGCGCACGCACACGCGCGCACAAACACGCACGCGGCACACGCACATGCACGCGGCGCGCGCGCGCACACAACAACACACACACACACACACACACACACACACACACACACACACACACACACACATACACACACACACACAAAACAAACAAACAGACACACATACACACACGCACGCACACCCGCGCGCGCGGCGGGAAAGTACGGGGCCTGTTGTTCGTTTCCGGCTTCGGGTGGTTCACCCGGCACTCGTGTGAACTCGATGTAGCGGTAGCAAGTGTGGGTCAGTGGGTTGGTGCTGCTGGCGTAGCGTGTCAACACGGCCGCAGGCGGGTACCTCCAGGCTCTCACTTTCACACAGGGCTTGTCAGCGAACAACGCTATCTGACAGAGAAGATAACCACGGAATAAGCACCCTTCCGTGTGCACTTGACAACACGCTCACAGACAGCACCACTTTCATTTAGTTTCACTGACCTAGTAACAGGCGCGTTCAGGCCCCGTTTGTTTGTTGTTGCAGTGTCATCGCGAATTTTTGCGCGATTATTCGAAATATGAGCGGCATTATCATGTTATTAGTCTTGTAACGTACTGCGTTAAATTGTGAGAGTATAAGAGCGGCAGCGCAACTCGCTATGTGCTCTCGACCCGAACGTTGACACGCGCCTGAGAATTAATATGCAATAAAGAGAGGCGCTAAAGTGGAACGCGTTTGCGATGGGCAAAGTTAACACCTTCATGCTCGGCAATTACACGCACCCAGACGGAACGCGCTGAGAGCTCGCCGCACAGCGTGCGCTACGCGGAATTAGTGAAAGTAATGCGACAAAAGTAACGATAATGCGCTTTACAGAGCATAGTATATGCGCTATACAGAGCAATGCAGCTTAATTTCACACTACAATGCAAAAGCGAATACAATAGATTCGTAGATAACTACGTCGAGAATCCGAGCGCAGCGATTGGACGGAGCATCCACATTATTTTTTTATAGTACTAGCATATCATGAGGAAACCATCATGAATCGCAATGAATCGTAACAAATTGCAATCCTCTTCCCGTTGATCGTAGCGTCAACATAGATCGCTGCGTTACAAAAAATCACCGACATTCCGTAAGTAGGTGACCGCGCGCGACGCAGTAGCCCGTATACGGTAAACAGACGCAATTCATGGCGGATGTCGACCGTCGGGTATAATAATATGTAGGATTCGAATTAGACGTGGTTGTAATGTTATCACGGCGGCACACATCATTATATATATATATATATATACATATATACATACATACATACATACATACATACATACATACATACATACATACATACATACATACATACATACATACATACATACATACATACATACATACATACATACATACATACATACATACATACATACATACATACATTACATACATACATACATTACATACATACATAATACAATACATAACATACATACATTACATACATACATACATTTACATACTACATACATACATACATTACATCATACATACATACATACATACATACATACATACATAACATATCAATACATACATACATACATACATTACATACATACATTTACATACATACATTACATACATACATTACCATTACATACATACATACATCATACATACATAACATACAATACATACATACATACATACATTACATACATATCATACATACAGTTACATACTACATACATACATACATTACATACATACAACATACATTACATACATACATACATACATACTACATACATACATACATACAATACATACATACATACATTACATCATTTACATACATACATACTACATACTACATACATACATACATACATTACATTAATACATACATTTACATTACATACATACATCATACATACATACGATACATACATACATACATACATCATAACATAACATACATAATACATACATAACAACATACATACATACATTACATACATACATACATACATAACATAACTTAATACTTACATACATCATACATACATTACATAATACATACTATACATACATACATACATACATACATTACATACATACATACAATACATAATTACATACATCATACATACATACATACATTACATACATACATACATACATACATACATCACTGAGCGCCAACGAAGATGAAGGCATTTACTATCGTTGCGGTTGTCGTGAAAAAAGAGCGTTTTTTTGTCACGACGATGTTATGTTTGCACAATCTAGTTCACGCACTGATACTGCGGAATGGTACTGCTGCGAAACGTGCAAATAAATATACGCTGAGCATACCGGAAATAGTTCAATGATTCAGATAGATACTCCAATGTAAAGAAGTTATAGCAGAGGTCCCAAGTTGGGAAAATCCAAGAAAAGGATCACTTGTGATAATGGTCCATCGCCGTTTTTTCGCGGTGCGCAAAACCAGGAAAAAGGTTGTGGCGGGCTGCGACATGTGTTTGTCGCGGCGCACCACCCTTTTTTATAAAGTATAAATGTAAAATAAAATGCAAATTCAAAATAAAAATGCCAAAAAAACAAGTGTTTGACAGTTGTGGCCTTTTGTTGTTCGCTGGAATCAAAGTACATCAACAACCACAAGTACGTCAAATTTAGTAATTTACTGATGTAAATTTTAAAATATGGCTGAAAAATGTTACGACCGGGACTTTCTGGACTCATACCGGGGCACCGGGCCCAGCATGTCGTACCGGGAGGATCCCGGTGAGACCGGGACACTTGGGACGTCTGGTTATAGTATTGTTCATTCTCGTTAATTGTTCATTCTGGTCGATTGCTCATTCTCGTCAAAATGTCGAGTGACGAAATACTCAATTAATCGTATGGTGTTAATTGAGTGTAGTACATCAGCAACCTCTATTAGTGATAGCGCGAAATACTTTCTTCAATAATAAATAGCCATGCAGATTCATAGCTCTCATGATGTTTGTGACCAGTTCCTCTGATAGTTTATTCTATTTTCGCTGGAGGTGTCGTGTACGTGCGCGGATATAACGCGTATGCATATGTGCGTGCATGTGCGCGTTCTGTGCGCGTAATTTGCTCCAATATGGCATTAAAGTATGAGTTTGCCCTTTACGTGCCCCTTATTCGCAAAGACGAAAGAAACTTTAAGTAATGTGATTAATGCAAAGGAAGTTATCGAATTCTTAATCGACGGATTAGTAACCCCCCTATAAAGTCATACCTATCTATTCAACGCACCACTCCGGGTGCATGACACAGCCATATTTTACATCTAGTTTTAGCTACCACTTTTCGAGATTACGAGACAACTACGAGATTATTCGATAAGCAGTAAATCCAACAATTTAAATCCAGTAAGAGCTATTACGTGCGCGCGCAGAAATTAGTGCATGGTGGTTAGATCACTTGCACTAGCACCTACACTAACAACGACCAATGTGGTTCTACGCGATTGGCATCCGGGAAGGCACAATGACACGTACCCCCTTATATACGCATGTATACGCTAGTTGCATACACTAGCCTTGATCTGCTGGCTACTATGGGCAGTTACTGAAGAGCAATTGTGCGGATATAGGGCACGGCACAATTAGTTGGGTATATATATCAAACCAATTCTGCATGCTCGGTACGTTGAATAGTTTCACTTTCAAGCAATAACGCAACGAACAGGTGTGTAGACTTTTGCGAATAAATCAACAGTATGAGATGACAAGTGATAGAAATATTGCGTGTAACGGGTACAATTTATATGGGGTATTTATTTGATTTTTTGCGTTCTAGGATCAAATCTAGTGACTGTGTAGCAATGGCGATGTCACCGGCGATTGTAATCGCAGTAATGGTAAGTCACCAGTAAAGCGAAAATCTTTCATAGTAATCCAGCGAAACTATATTCATTCGCATTTTTTTAATTATTCCGATGCATCAGTTCAAAATAATTTTGCATCCGTTTGTAGTCTTTTATTGTGCCAGTCAGAGTTCAATGACGTTTTAGAAATATTTGTAAATAGTCGATAGCTACTTTAACAGATTAGATCGTTATAAAACTGCGGTTCAGCATATAATAATAGAAGAGTCTATTAGTTAGAGTATTTATGGTTTGCATAGTCTTGTTTATTAAGTTGAATCGTCATGAGAAAATTCAAATAATATGAAGTATAAAGTATTCTGTTAGTTGTACATCAAGTTAAATCAATATTATTAAGTTAAATCAATCAAGTTAAATGTGTATCTTATCAAGTTATCAAGTTATCAAGTTATCAAGTTATCAAGTTATCAATCTTATCAAGTTAAATGTGTAGGAATACGCAATGTGTTTCAGGCGCTATGTCTTGGTGTGGCGAGTGGCAAGTCCTCGTACCGCACTAACTTTTCTCCACTAAACAGGTATTTGCCATCAGCTTGTATTTATATGGTACGGTGGTATAGCTGCATATTCTCACTCTGCGTGCGATATACTTTGTCATGTTGCGTAACATAATTACGAATCGAATGTTGGAGCAACTTTCTGAACGGTAAAGTCATTCGACAAAGAAAAATGATTAAACACGAAGGCAATTAACTTTAATTAGGTTGTGTACCAAGGATATTATATAAACGATTATTAATTACGACATGTATAATATACTTATATAATACACATTTACAGGTATCATCCAGCCCGCGGGTCGCCATTTAACCACAACCAAGGGTCTGTGCTCTTTCCAAACGTAAATTCTGCCAATACTGAGCGTTGCTTCGTCGCTGGGGGCAGAGGAAACGGGGGCTATGGCGGGGGAGGAAACGGCGGCTATGGCGGAGGAGGACACGGCGGATACGGCGGAGGAGGAAACGGGGGCTATGGCGGAGGACGCGGGGGCTATGGCGGAGGAGGACACGGCGGTTACGGCAGGGGAGGACATGGTGGTGGTTACGGCAACACACAGCTTGGACCGCTTAACCGCTATCACTCCGTCAAGAACTCACCGTATAACTACAACCCCGGCAGTATATTCCTACCAACGTTGACGAGTGCCAACACGCGTCTGAGAATCATTTAGTGAGTATACAGTGCACATAGTAGTCAGGTCGAAATGTAGCTGACAGTCATTCGACGTTAAACTGCAGCTGATGTCACATATATATATAGAATGAATGAGATATTCGTGTAAATGTATACCAGCGAGTATATAGAACAGTTAATGACCGTTCTATATAGTCTTCCTCATTTGCTGATCTATGAAACGAGCAGCGATGGCGAATTATATATGTTAAATTAGCGTGAATAAAAACAAAGTTGTTTTTACTTACTCCTGGTCGAATCAAACCGATCGATGCATGAGCTTGAAATACATACGCGTCATACAACGTGCACCAGATGTTGTACGAGCAGTTATTTTTTTATTATTAGATTGTAATTCGGGTATTTCGTGGAGAAAGTAAGCGGCAATGTCATCGGCAATGGCGTTGACAGAGATTTGAGATCGTTCTTTTACTCGCGGTATTCTATATACTAATGATGTCCATATGCTTCTACAAGTGTCATGTCGCTTCTTCGTTTGTTACAGCGATGCACACGGCCAGGCAACCTATGTGTACTGTGTCACGGGTACTTAAGTATCCAGACACGTGTTGGTGATAGCTAGTACTGCATCGATGAAGAATATCGTGACCCAGAAGAGGTAATGACAAAATCAACATGTGAAGAAAAATCTGTTCGTCTGTCGTCAATATACGCCTCACTGACGAGGCACACAGAAGTCTTACATAGTTCCATATATGAATTATACAACATTTTCATTAATCGTACGGGCCGATATATAGGCGCGTGACTAATGTATTAAAAACTTGTATGATTATGAAAAATAACGTTAACCACACATAACGTTTAATTTGTGTTAGTTGATTTAATACATAAATAATGACAAGAATCACAGTATTTGCTAATATTGAGCATCTGATAACGCGTACGACAGTGGCATAATATAATATAATGGCTCATGTCTATGGATTTTCATACGTTATTATATATAACTATATTTGCAATTAAACTTCTAGTTGAATTACATTAAGTTTGTTAATTGTGCATTTATATATACTGCCTTGCCGGATATATAACTTTTACACTTGTTACGTTTTATTATGATAATAAATGAATAATGACGCTTATTCGATTCTTCTGTATATCATATTACATAGATGAAAGTTTGAATCTTATATTAGATGGTATAATTAAATTGAAATACATTGTTTCAATTAAATAAACAATTGAGTAGATCACGCAGTCATTGTTTTAAAAATAGTAACAGCTATACTGGCTATTATACATATCACTGATGATATCAGCAACAAATTACATCTCTCTCTCTCTCTCTCTCTCTCTCTCTCTCTCTCTCTCTCTCTCT